AGCAATTATGAGCCACGCACAGTGACTTTGGCCAATTTTATTTGCACATTTTGTTATTAATTAGTTTTATCTTTGTTGTTCATTTCTCTTACAGTCAGATTATCATTAGTTTTTAACATCTTAAAATCAACTTTAGTTTTCTTCTTGAAAACTTGAATAGAATTAACTTAGCGATTTAATTTCAAAAACACTCAATCCCTGTGGGACGATACTTGGTTATTCATCATTTTACTACTTGTTGACTCGTGCACTTGCGAGATTCTAGATTCACAATTTTAGGCAACAGTTATTTGCTGGACGAACTGTGTTAAAGGTAGTGATAAGCTGATTCACCATCCCTACCAACGTGTCCACTTGTGCTTCGATCATGTCAGTGCATGTTGGTGGACGAGGAGCACGTGGTGCCTTTTCAGGATTAGCGCCGAGTCCCCTTGTTTGGGTTCCCTCAGAATGGGTACGTTGAGCACTTGAGACTTGGTCACTCGCCATACCTGAAAATGACCTAGCAATGAGATAGAAAAATTTAAGTGCCGGTGAGAACCTGTGGATGTTAATCACACCAGGGCCCTCCTTCTAGCGCCAGAAATGTTGGAGCAAAATTTCGTCCAACACCTATCCAGCATCCCTAGACTAATAATTTGGATTGAATAAGCAAATTATCTAAGGAAATTGGAAGAACACTCGAAGAACACAAAGAACCTCTGAAGGAATAACAAAAACAAAATGATGACAATCACAAGGCAATTGTATTCAGAAAAATGAGTGTTCCTCTTTTCCTCTCAAATTGAGAAAATTTATAGTACATTAGGATTGAGGGAGTTTAATTCTCCCATTAATTCGAGAGTTTATTCTCTCTTAATTACAATAAGGCTCTTCACCTTTTTGTGAGTAAAAACTGATAAATAATCAATGAGAATTAACTTTTAACCATTCAATGTCTTCAATTAGCGTCAGTTACTTCACTTGATAACATCGCGCGACCTTTGAACTTTCGGCTCCGGCGAACTTGGGCTCGGGAGAGCTTGGGCTCCGGCAAGCTTAGGCTTGGGAGAGCTTGGGCTCGGGAGCGCTTGAGCTCAGGAGCGCTTGGGCTCGGGAGAGCTTGGGCTCGGGAGAGCTTGGGCTCGGACGAGCCTTTTAATTTATCGCATGTTTAATGATTCCGGAAATACCGCCCAACAATAAGTGCATGGGTTCTCCTTCAAACTAAGTGTCTTTTAAGTCATTGAACTCTCCTTGCATATTACTAACCCCATCATAGCCTTGTCCTCGCAATCTAGATGTGCTTAATTTCTACCTAGAAAATAAAGCCTCAATTGCAGTTTTAAGCGAGAGAGCTGTTGTACTAGAAATATGTTCAATACCCACAAAACGTTCAACTACACAACCATTCTTATCCACAAAACGTAGCATGATATCCATCTGCTCTTTTATTGAGACGTCACAAGATTCATCAACTAAGATTGAAAATAATGCATCGCCCATGTCTTCCATGATTACATTAACAGTTTCAACAGCAACAACATTTACAATATCCTTCTGAGTCATAGGTGATACTAATTTGAGATTTTAATAAGCATTCCCCTAATGTAACAGATTTTATAGCATCATTATGTTTAGCTAGAAACTTCAGAAGCTCACAAAAATTACCTTAATTTCTTGAATCCTCTGATTCGACATCGCCACGAAATGCAAGCCCTTGTGGCAAAACAAATCTTACACAGTCAATTGATGCGTACAGTCGATAGTCGCTTCAAGCTTGATTTGTTTGCTTGTCTAAAGCACGTTGGATATGTTACTTTTGATTCAAGAAAGCTTCACACTTAGCCCTAGCTTGGTTGTGAGCACTATTAGGACCCCTAACGTGAGTATCTAGTCTTTCCTTTTTTTTTTTTTTCAATTTTTGAATCCTTTGCCAACAAAACAGTCACCACTTGCTTGTTCTCCATTATTTAATTTAATTAGATAACAATAAAGACAAAATGCAGCATCTTTTACTATACTCTAACCAATCAGAATATTCTTTGAACCAATCATGGATAAAACATCTTAGTTTTTCCCTGCATTGTGAATAAGGAAATTTATGATCTTTGGGCTGACAGGGACGATTTAACAAGTATATTCTTCGAACATCGTCCCGAATGTTTACATTGTAATTCAAAATTGGAATGCTTAGCCCAGGATCTGTCGGAAGCTTAGAACTGTCGAATTCCTCTCTATTTGATTTTGCATTATTATCATTTTTCCTTATAAGGAATGGCGACTCTAATATTCTTTTAAAATATTTTAACATTACTGTACAACATACAATTAAAAAAATTATAATTTAACAACCAATTATACTATTTATACATATTATGGTAAAAGAAAATATTATGTACAATCCATCATATCAAGCAATATCACAAAAATAAAAATTAAAAATTAAAAATTAATAGATTTTTGAATTTACATAACTTAAAGCTTAAGAAGCTTTCTTTTCTTTTCTTTTCTTATTTTTTTTTATTTTTATAATAACTGAGCTTGATAGAAAAGGCCAAAGGGGCACTAAAAAGGAATAAAAAGCTTAAGAAGTTAACAAGTCAAATATGTATCTGTAGTAATTTGTAATTGCAAGATAATGTCAACACAAACAACAACAACAAAAATGTGAAAAGAGCTAAAACTTGCAAAAGTCAAAAGACGATAGTAAAATAAAAATTCTTACCAAATTACCAGCAGATTAGAGTTGGAGAGAGTATTGCGAAGTTGAGATTCTCCCTCCCTCGCTGCCTTTCTTATTCACCATTACAATTGCACTTTTTATATATTATAATGGAACCTTGACGTAACCTTCACATTAAAACACTTTTTACATTTTCGCTCTAACTTGAGATAAATGTACCCGTCGTTTTAGTCGACGCCTAAAAGCGATAATTGACCCTCGATACAAATGAATTTGTAGCTTTCATCTTTACACATTAACCACTATCTATCAACTATTTTGATCTTTAGTCCGGCTCGAAAAGTTCGCAGTGTGACATTTAGTGTTAGAACTTTAATTATGAAATTTTTTAGAGATCTATAGTGATAGTAGAGGAATCGGGCCGATAGGCCCACTTTATTATGTGGACGATGTATGATTAGGATTATGATGATTATATTTTGCTGTAGCCGCTATAAGACTCCTCACTTGTACCAATTTTTTATATAGAGGATTTCTTCTCCTCTGCCCGTGGTTTTTTCCCGTCTTGGATTTTTTCACCTTAAATCTGTGTGTTCTTTTACGTTTTCTATTGCCTATTTTTCGTTATTTTGTTACATTGGGCAACTAGCATATGTTAAGCCCAAAACTAACTATTCAAAAGAATGATTATTTATTTGGCTAATCCGTTACGTTAGTCCTTAAATATTGAGCATGGTGGTAAGAACGCACAAAACAAATTTCTGCAGTTAAAATCAGGGCTCTCTTCTTTTTATCCTCTTAAATTCATTCTCTCTCGATCACTTCCTTCTCTTATAAATACAACTCAAATCCAAAGTTGTATTTAGGGTTAGGTCTCAAGAAACAACCTTTATAACTCTATCAAAAACTCAATAGAGCTTTTGGAGTCTATAATGTCCTCATAATCAATTAATTAGTTATGCTATATATTTTTAACTTTTAAATTAATATTTTTTAATTATTTCACGTCGTGAAATTCGAGTTTGGTATTTTATTGATTTCCTCTCTTGTAACTTTTTGTTTATATTATAAATTTGTGAGTTTGTTAGATCTTTTCAATAATTTAATCAATAAAAACATTAATTAAAAATAAGAATACAAACAATTTTTATGTGGTTTAGAAAATCCTACTTTCACTGGGTTACACCCGGCTATCGAACAATCTAATAAGTGGTAAAGAATATTACAGACATAACTCAGACTTAAACAAATAAAAAATTAAAAAAAAAAAAAAAACTCTCTTTATTTTTGTCGCCGCCATGTAAATTGGCTGGTTGGCAGATCGAATTTCAAAAGTAGAAAGCAAAAAATGGGAGTTTTAGAGATAAAGAGGAGATACTATTACAGCAAAAAACAAAAACAAAAAAACAAAAAAAAAAATGTAGGAGATACATATATAACGGTCTAAGTATTTATTTTAATTTGCGTTTCAGCACAAGAACAAGCTGAGTTCCTTCCTTGTAGCTTGACTCAAGCCTTTCAGAAAACTCTTGAGTTTTTTCATAAAGTCTATGAAAAACTTCGTCTATTACCTTACTTCCAAAATGTTTGACAATTATACCCTCCAGTGCAGCTCGCAGGTGCATAGTACATGATTTTCCAGTTGTTTGACTATCTATACATGAAAAAAGATTGTTTAACTCCATTCTCACAATGCTAAAGAACCCGTTCTGATTTATGAGTTCTGTCATCTCCTTTGGGGAAGCAGCATACAAGGGCAAGTTGAAAGAGTCCACTTGAGCTTCACTGATTAATTCCTGCAGTACAAATCCACGACCATTATTTTCTAGTAACTTTTATTCTATATACGTAGAAATATATGAACTTAAAATTTCGTAATTATAGATCGTTTATATTTTGACTATGCAAATAGTTAAAACTAAACATTTAATAATAAAGTTCAAAGTTTTTATTTTACAAAAAATAAAAAAATAAAAACTAATAGAGAACCGATTGCTAAAAACTGATTAGAATCGGTCGGCTTTTGTCTTTAGTGGTTAGTTCTCCTTGTCTGTTTTAGTCACTATTTTTAATGTTACGGGACCCACAAACACTTTTAAAAGTATGATTTGACTAAATCCATGTGATATTTGGAACTTAGAACTTCTCAATAGGAAATGCATAAGAAGCAAATCAAAATTTGACATTTGATTAATAAGAAGCTCTAAAAAGTAGTCACATTTAACTTTTTTATTACAATAAAAAATTTTTACATAAAGTCACATCTCAACTCAAATTAAAAATTTGAATCAGCGAACTAAACAGAATCTAAGAATGTTTCCATAAACTAATTAAAAGGGACTTACTTCTTTAGCCAGATCCATAAAGGAAGACCCCAGAAGATCAAACATAGAATGAGGCACATTATTTGGGATTGAAGGCATGATCAACACCAACATTCCTCCAACCATTATCTCCTTAGCCCTTGCGTCCAAAAATCTCGCCGTGTCCTTAGCAAATTGAGCTGCATAAGCCTTGCAATACTGAATTCTTCCTCTGTTCCACGCCGGGGAGTTCTCGTCAAGCAACTCCTCCGGCAGTTTAGAGAGCCAATGGATTGCATACGAAGAGTGCACAAAATGGAGTGAGGAATTTGGGAATAAACGGTCGTGGAAAGACCCCGGCACACCGGCCGCAAAGTACCGCCTCTCGGTCTCGGGGGGTAGAGAAGAGAAAAGCGTGTTGAAATCGTTGGAGACGTGATCATTGAAGAAGATTTGAAAGTCGGGAATTTGACCTAGTTGAGATTGGTACTTTTGTTGAACAGCTTCTATTATGTTTTGCATAGAATTGAAGGTGTTCGGCCCAACTGAACATCCCAAGTCAGCTATGCAGAATGTATTATTGTTTAATGATTCTGAAGAAAATTCTTTTATGTCTAGATAATCTACTATTGCTTCATCGATCATAGACTTTGCAATATTTATTGCTGTTTTCTGCAATGATTTAGACCAAAAAATGAAGAAATTAAAAGTGAAGAATAACTTCTGCATCTGTTTATATGCTTGAAGATGCTGGAGAAAGTAGTTGGCTCAAAAGATACACTAATGACCCAACGGTTTTACTAATTAAAAAAAAAATCACTTTCGAAAGGGGAAAAAAGTCGTACAAACAATCATGTAATAAACACAACAGTTATTCATTTAACATTCGTGTAGCTTTGGATATTAAAATTAATAAAAACGTAGAATTCTTTGATATGACATTAGAGTATCTAATTACTTAATCTAATAGTTTAAAAGTATGTCCTACAGATAGAATATTTTTTCTCTTATCACAAAATTATCCCGATGTTCTACTCCATACACTATGTTATGTAAGCAAAGAGTAAAAACACACAAACCTATAAATTCTTATAATGTCACGTTATCAAATTTCTATATTTGATAGATAACTATCATATAAAGTAACTATTAAAACTCAACTACTATATATATATATATATATATAATATTATAAACAAGAAAGAAATATGGATTATGAAACCTGGAAGTAGGAGTTCTTAGTGTAGCTGTAAGTACTATCTCCACCATTCATTGGGTATGATTCTGGCATTGTGGTCGTCTGATTGCTCACATTCAAGCTTCTCTTTCTGGACTTACCCTCTGTTCTTTCTCACCCCTTTTCAGGCAAATGTTGATGAGCATATGGCACACACTAGCTATACTACATGCTGGGTAAGGTCAATTTGCATCATGCAAAGAACTTTATGGCTAAAAAAAAAATTATTCTTTAAAAAATTATTTTGATTTCTGACTGATATTATATTTAATTCTTGCTAGGAAACTGATTGTGCCCTATAAAACTTAGGTCCCGCCAGAGTATCCGAGGGACATTTCATTGTTTAAACAACAAAAGGACAATAAACTCTACAAAAGAAGCAAAAAAAAAAAAAAAAAAAAAAAAAGATATATATATATATATATTCCTCTAACTTACAGAACTTGCAACTTGGCAGTTCTACCAATAAAAGGCCAACTTTTAACAATTTTTTCTCAGGTGTCACATGATTCTATAATAAAGTAATTAGGAAAAAAAATATCCAAGAAGATTAAATTTTGAGATAATAATAGCTCCATGAAGATTAAGGGGTTGTTCTTTTGGGGTGTAACTTGAATGTAGTTTTTGAGTTAAATTTGAGAGTTGAAGTTGTAACTTGAATAAAGTTAAATAAAGTTGAAACTTAAAATAACGTGAACTTGAATAAAGTTGGAACTCGAATTGTCTTTTTTTGAATTTTTTAGACAAAAGAACATGCCTTAAGTTTTTAGATGATAATAGCTGAAAATATTAATATATAAGGAGGGACATTTTTGGAAAAAAAATATTGACAGAGAAAAATCATAAAAGATATTTCAACGAGTCATATTTTAAAATATAAGACTTAAAGAAAAAAAAAAAAAACAGAACATGGAAAGAAAAAAAAAAAAGAATCAATCTAAACACGCGTCGTTTTGGTCGAAATTATGAGACAACATAAGACACGTTGGTATTCTTATTTAAATAAGGATACATTTAAAATAAACTATTTTAATAGAGACAAGAACAAAAGGAAAACAAAACAAAAAACAAAAAATTGGAACAAAAGAACCAAACACCATTGTCTTGATCAAAATCTCATAGCAGTTATAAAGTCTATATTTGATTAAAATATCATTTTAGAGGATTAAAAAAAAAGAAGCATTACGGGATAGAAACAAATTAGAAAAAAAATAAGTAATTTAATGAACACGTCTCAAAATAAAGGATAAAAAAATTTAAGTGAAATAAAACAAGAACAAGTAGAAAAAAGATTAAAGCTAGAAGGACCGTATAAAAAACAACCGAAATGAAAGTCAGGGGACTTAATATAATAGTTGAGTAACGACGCATTTGAAAAAAAAAAAAAGTATTGATAATAAGGATAAATTAAATGGAAAAAGTATTTTGAAAATAGACATTTCAGAACGAATATAGAAGATTATACCATTAAAAAAAAGGAATTTTTAAGGCAAAAAAGGCAAGGAACAAAAAAACAAAAAGACGAGTTGACAAAAAAAAAAAAACCCTGGAATGAAACGATGAAATAACAAATTACGTACGAAATCCTACTTAAAACCCATTTTTTGGAGGGGGGAAAAAAAGAAATTGTTGGGAGAAGGGGCAAGGGAAAAAAAATAAAGAAAATAAAGAAAAAAGAAAAAAGAAGAAAAATATCCAAACAAGAAAAAAGAAAAAAAAAAGGAAAAAGTTGACAAAAAAAATGTAGAACGAAACTTTTCGTGGAGCACTGTGATGTTTGGTAGAGGGATTCGTTTCCTGATTCGAATTATGATTCGTGGTTCACTCTCACAAAAAATACACGTAAATTAAAAATAGTTCTAATCACATTATTCTAATCCATGAACCAAACGGACTTGCGGTACGGTAATAGAATAATTGGTTGTTGATTTGGAGGGTGCGTAACATGTAAAATAGACTCTGTTGTATCTTTAATCTAAAGTAATCGGCCCTTTTCTTACATTTCCCTTCGGCCTATGGTGGTCTTCAAGGCCGAGAGATTTTCGGCTTATCTCTATATCGGACCTTAAAAAGAAGAACACCGAGAAATCTCCTCTCATAGGCCCATAAATTTAGAACCACCAGTCTGTAGCATTTGGTTTTGTGAAGGATTGTTGTTCTTATTTTTGTTTCTAAAGTTGAACTTATTTGCTTTTGCAGCTTCTTGTTGTTTGAAAGATGTTGGGGATTTTCACTATATAAATTAGGCACATGACACGTGTCCCAGATCGACCTCTGACTAGGATTGAGGTTGATGGCCACAAACCTCTATCTGCTAGATCAATGCCACTAGAAAACCTCGACATATCGAGATCGAGATTGAGAGAGATGTAAGTGACACATGTCGACATGATAGAGCAATCTGTCATAACACAACACATGTCCTCATGTTAGGGCGACCAATGCAAAAGCACCACGTGTTGGGGCAGCGTAGTAAATAATGGTAGCGCATGTGTCCTGGGTTGGAAACTTCCTTAGGCTTTTTCCAAAGAATGAATGTTGAAGGATATCTTAACCCAATAAAGATAGATGTGTCACAATCACGTGAAATTGAAAATACTCATTTGATCAAGACATTCACTTTATAAATAGAATATTGAGTTTTTTTCTTGGGGCCTCCTTTTACCACATTTACCATTCTTTGCTAAAATCTCTCCATAACAGTTTTGCTTGACTTGAGTGTGAGAGTGTCATCTGCGTGCCAATCCCAGGCTCACCCCAGAGGTGGAGCAGTCAAGTAAAGGCGGAGAATGATGAAGTAGGTTGTAACGATCTGCATTCTCACTTGGTATGATATTGTCCGCTTTGTGTTTGAGCCTGCACGGTTTTGACTTTTGGGCTACACCCTAAAAGACTTTATATTATTAGGAGATAGTGTCATTTCTTATAAACCAGGATCTATCTTCATCCTCAGGTGATGTGGGACTACACAACTTATCCTTTTTTAACATTGTGTCTCAAGGGATTGATGGTTGTCACACAAGTAGAAGAGCATTGATGTTCAGAAAAGTACTCCAACAAAAGAGAGCAGCCAAGTGAACTTGTGCAATATCCTATTGTTTAACTGTGTTCTAACATATTCATTTGCAGTTAGTGTTGTCTTCTACGGAAACTAAATCTCAGTATGAAGCTTAAGCAATCTGGATTGAGATTTTGTAGCATGGCTTCTTTCAGGAGCTGTCTATAGCTTACCGTGCTTTCCGTGAGGGACAAGTAAAACCAGGTCATGACAAGCCGATTAAGCCTCTGCCGAACTGTAAACTTAGGATTTCGGATTTGCTTTTGCAGATCTAGGTATCGAGGTGAATTCGATGAAGTCTCTAGCTCATTAGTAATAATCACATTTAGCATTTGATTTTTCCATAAGAAGTAATTGTCTGTGTCTAATTTTATTATGAGATGTTGGCTAAGAGAAGGAAGTTGTGTTGGGGCAGGATTTCAAACCTGGAAAACGCTCAGAATTTGTTGGAAGCATGTTTTAATGAGTGAGCAGCAATTCAAAACATAATAATTTCCTTCTTTATTTTATAGCTCTTTCCCCCGACTTTTTGCCGCGCATATTGTTCTTCCCTTAACTAGAACTAATACTCAAATCTATTTATGAAACGTTTATGATTATTTTTTAGAAGCTTGATTTTGTAATATAATTGCTTTTTATGCTTTCACTTATAGCCTTTTCTTTATGAGTAAACATTACTTTTGTCAAAAGCACAAACAATCCCAAACCTAGATCTGTTAGTATAATTATACATGCGGTTAACACTAACATTATGTTTGCTAGAATGAAACAATGTGAGGAAAAATAATACAGTGATTAGAACTATAACACGTAGATAGAACCTACAAGCTAAGTATTCGAGCATGGATTCACTTTATAAATTTTAATTAACACAATAATAACTATGATTACATCTAATTAAGCATTAGAAAATTTCACGGCGTTACATGTATAGATTTAAATGTACATATAAAAATTATGCATATATAACTCCAGACATTATTCTCTCCCATCACCAAATTCTACGTCTCTGACTGGAAAAAAGTAACACATAACGGTCTAATCAGTTATTTTAATTTGCGTTTCAGCACAAGAACAAGCTGAGTTCCTTCCTTGTAGCTTGACTCAAGCCTTTCAGAAAACTCTTGAGTTTTTTCATAAAGTCTATGAAAAACTTCGTCTATTACCTTACTTCCAAAATGTTTGACAATTATACCCTCCAGTGCAGCTCGCAGGTGCATAGTACATGATTTTCCAGTTGTTTGACTATCTATACATGAAAAAAGATTGTTTAACTCCATTCTCACAATGCTAAAGAACCCGTTCTGATTTATGAGTTCTGTCATCTCCTTTGGGGAAGCAGCATACAAGGGCAAGTTGAAAGAGTCCACTTGAGCTTCACTGATTAATTCCTGCAGTACAAATCCACGACCATTATTTTCTAGTAACTTTTATTCTATATACGTAGAAAATACTTACTAGTGGATCTTTTAATTTTGATTATTCAAATAAATTAAAATGAAATTCAAAATAAGAAGTAAATTTTGAATAAGTTTGTTTAACAAAAATCCAAAACCGGTCAAGAACTAATTGCCAGAAGCCAATTAGAATTGGTCAGCTTCGATCGGTTCCTAACCACCTAAGTTGGGTGGTCAGTTCCCTCCTTTGAGATTCGACCTGGTCAGTGGTCACCGTATTCGATGGTATGGTAACCACATATACCCCTACAAGTTTGCTACAAACCTATTAGGCAGAACTCATCGTTGCAAAATCGGCTTGTAAGAGGAGGGTAACCTAAGGGCTTATGACCCACTAGTCATCTTTTAATTATTCCATGCGAGACTTTTGGTATCTAACAAAGTGTGATATGACTAAAAATTTGTGTGAAATTTGGAACTGCTCAATAGGAAATGCGTAGCAAAGAAATCAAAATTTGGCGTTTGATTAGTAAGGAGATATAAAATGTTTCCATAAACTGATGAAAAGGGACCTACTTCTTTAGCCATATCCATAAGAGAAGACCCCAGAAGATCAAACATCACACCTGAAGGAATCCTAGAATGAGGCACATCATTTGGGGTTGAAGGCATGATCAACACCATCATACCTCCAACCATTATCTCCTTAGCCCTGGCATCCAAAAAGCTTGCCATGTCCTTAGCAAATTGAGCTACATAAGCCTTGCCTACTTCATCGTCGGCATTTATATAGTGAATTCTTCCTCCATTCCATGCGGGGGAGTTCTTGTCAAGCAACTCCTCAGGTAAGTTTGAGAGCCAATGGACTGCATATGAAGATTGCACAAAGTGGAGAGATGAATTTGGGAATAACCGGCCGTGGAAAGACCCTGGCACACCGACCGCAAAGTATTGCCTCTCGGGGGGTAGAGAAGAGAAAAGTGTGTTGAAATCATTGGAGACATGATCATTGAAGAAGATTTGAAAGTCTGGAAATTTATGAGGATATTGATCACCTAGTTGAGATTGGTACTTTTGTTGAACAGCTTCAAGTATGTTTTGCATAGAAATAAAGGTGTTGGGCCCAACTGAACATCCCAAATCAGCTATGTGGAATTTATTGTTCAATGATGCTGAAGAGAAATCTTTTATGTCAAGATAATCTGTGATTGCTTCGTCGATCATAGACTTTGCAATATTTGTTGCTGATTTCTGCAATGATTTAGACCAAAAAAAAAAAAAAAAGAGGAAGTCAATTTAGCTTCTCGAGACAATTTTCCTCGAAATACAGGTTTTCTGCACATTCTTGAAACTTTTATGCATACGAGCACGTGACTGTCTAAATCAGTGGTCTGATGGAAACAAAATTGAAGAGTAACTTTTGTATGCGCTGATATGCTTGAAAAGCAAGTACTAATTGGCTCTCAAAAGAAACACTAATGAGCCAATGGATTGAAATAAATTGAGAGAATTGATAACTCTAAACCGCTTAATTATATCATAATCATATCATATTAAGAAAGTATGACAATTAAATATAGCTTAATCAATATAAGATAGTTCAAACTGTATCCTACTAATAATAGTCACTTATGTGTACTATACTACAAAATTTTCTTCTTAGTAATTAAAAACATCACTTTGAAAAGTTTTTTCTTTTTTTTTTTTTTTGAAAAAAAAAAAGGCTTAGAAACATCCGTATAACAAAGTAACAAACAAAAGGTACAATTATGATCAGTGAATCTTTCTTATATTTTAGGTAGGATTTAGTCTTTAACCATCATAGTTTTGTCAATTCTCCTAAATTGTCGTACTTATTCAATATGGTGACATGATTATGCTTGCATCCGATGGTTAAAAACTGTACTTGATTTAACCATGTATATATGACGGCGATCATGCTCCAAGTGAGAGAGTTATATGGCATGACCAAAGAATAGAAACGCACACAACTATATCATATAATATATATATATATATACACACACACATATATACATACATGCATATATAAGGTATAAGCAAAGAATAAATGATGATAGAAACCTGGAAAGAGGAGTTCTTAGCGTAGCTGTAAGTGCTATCTCCACCCTTCATTGGGTATGATTCAGGCGTTATGGCCGTGTTATTGCTCATCTTCGACTTTTCTGAACTTACTCTCTGGTCTCTCTTCCTTTTTCAGCGGATGTTGATGAACACATAGCACACGCTAACTACTACATGGTAGATAAGGTCAATTTGCTACCTTCGTGCCAAGACTTTTATTAATTAAGAGATAATATTCTTTAAAAGTTATTCTGATTGTTGACTAATATCAATAATATGTTTTATATTTTTCTTGCTAAGGAAACACAGGTATCCCGTTTGCATCTCCGCAAATTAAAGAAGCTTAAAAAAAAAAAAAAAAAGAACCCTCTTCAATAATGTTTTTTCTTTGGCTTTTCAAATTTTATAATTGGGAGCTGTCTTAGTGTTAGGTAGATTGGATTCATATGTCCCCTTTCACATGACTATTTTTTCGTTTATGTGCCATGGTATTTTAATTGACATGATTTTAATTGATGTATTATAATATTAGAGGGATATGAAAGGGACACAAATGGGGAGACATAGAAGTCGAATCTGCGTCATGTTAAGAGACATTGGTGCTACTGTTCACTTTTTCGGCCACAGTGATAAAATCAAGCGGCTGTTAACTTAGAGGGTGTAAACTAGTTTAATCTAATCTAAGAATCAAGCTAGCCAAAAATCTGTAGACGAAACTGTTGGAGCAGTGTGAATTTTTTTTTTTTAATTAAAAATAAAAGTGGTTATATCTAAAGAGATTATCTATTAACAAATAAAGTTGCTATTTTGAACGAAAAAAAAAGGGGAAGACTTAGTCTCTGAACAAGAATGACTTGGTCCATGATTTCCTCCACGATCCTCTCCACTCTCTCATGGTTTGTTCCTAACTTTCCTCATCGTCATTGTATACAATTTTCTTTAAATAGAGGCAGAGAGGATAGATTGAGATATAAAGTTTTTAGATGCTCTCTCTGGTAATCAAAAGAAAAAACTTTCTTCTTGCTTTCTGTTTTCCGAGCAATATTTGGGTGTTTGTATTCCGGCTTTCTTCAGTGCAGAGGAGGTCCGAAACAGAGGTGATTCTGGGCTGTTTTATGGTCCGAGACAGAGGTGATTCTGGGCTGTTTTATCCTGGGGACGACGAGGCTGGTATACTGCTTGTACTACCTTGGGCAGAGCCGCGAAACGTCTTAAAGAAAGCGACTTAGTCCGCGACTCAACCCAAGATTTTGTTTGGTAAATTCGTTCCTTTTGTGTTCTGCACTAACAATTTTAAGACGTTCTTCTGCTATGACTTCCGCAATCGATTCTGCTACTGGTGATTTAAACAAGCCCTTTCGCTTTGAGGGGCTTAATTTTAAAAGATGGAAACAGAAGATGTTATTTTTCCTAACCATGAAAAAAGTTGCATATGTATGTACTTCAGAAAAACCCATATTAACTGAAAAGCCAACTGATAAACAAACTAAGGAATATGAGTCCTGGGTTGAAGATGATTTTCTGTGCAAGAATTTTATTCTGAATGGTTTGTCTGATGATTTGTATGACTACTATAGTTCTAACAAATTTGCAAAGGAGATATGGGATGCACTTCAGAAGAAATATGACACTGAGGAGGCTGGAACGAAGAAATATGCAGTCAGTCGATACCTAAAATATCAAATGACCGATGACAAATCTGTGGAGGCTCAATCTCACGAGCTACAAAAGATTGCACATGAAATCATTTCTGAAGGTATGTCTCTAGATGAACAATTTCAAGTTGCTGTCTTGATTGACAAATTGCCTGCTGGTTGGAAAGATTTTAAGAGTCTTCTCCGGCACAAAACTAAGGAGTTTTCTTTAGAAAGTTTGATCACTCGCCTTCGTATTGAGGAGGAAGCCCGCAAACAAGATCAAAAAGATGAAATTCTTGTTGTTTCAAACAACAATACTAATAAGAAAACCACCTCTGCCGTTTTGAAACCCAAAGGGAAAAACATGAAGAATCAGAATCGCAACCACAACAACAACCAGAATCGAAAAATTCAGAACAAGAATGCTCAACAGAATCAGAATGGACATAAACCCCCTTCAAGGAATGATTCAGGACAATTTTCATGTTTTAACTGTGGGAAGCCAGGCCATATGGCTCGGAACTGCCGGTATATGCGACGTCCTGCTCCGCAGGCGAACCTTACCGAAGAGCAACTTATTGCTATGATTTATGAAATCAACATTATTGGAGGATCCGAAGGGTGGTGGGTAGACACTGGTGCTACTCGCCATGTTTGCTATGATCGTGCTGTGTTCAAGTCCTATTCTGAAACTGAAGACAAGAAAGTGTTGTTGGGTGATTCCCACTCCACTGTTGTTGCTGGTACTGGAGAGGTGGAATTGAAGTTTACCTCTGGAAAGACTGTCATCCTAAAGGATGTTCTGCATACTCCAGAGATGAGGAAGAACTTAGTTTCGGGATACCTTCTCAACAAGGCTGGGTTTACTCAAATCATTGGGGCTGATTTGTATACCATTACTAAAAATAATATTTTTGTTGGGAAAGGGTATGCTACTGATGGAATGTTTAAATTGAATGTTGATGTTAATAAAGTTGCACCTTCTACTTACATGTTGTGTTCTTTTAATACTTGGCATGCTAGACTTTGTCATGTTAACAAACGCATTATTAAAAACATGAGTAGCTTAGAACTAATCCCAAAATTGTCTTTGAATGATTTTGAAAAATGTGAATACTGTAGTCAAGCTAAAATTACCAAAACCCCACATAAATCAGTTGTTAGAGAATCTGAACCTCTTGATTTAATCCATTCTGACATTTGTGAATTTGATGGTATCTTGACTAGAAATGGAAAACGCTATTTTATTACATTCATTGATGACTGCTCTGACTATACTTTTGTTTATCTCATGAAAAATAAAAATGAAGCGTTTGATATGTTCAAACTATTTGTGACAGAAATTAAAAATCAGTGCAACAGAAAAATAAAGAGATTGCGTAGTGATAGAGGCACTGAATATGATTCTGATATTTTTATTGATTTTTATAAATCCCACGGGATTATTCATGAGAAAACAGCACCTTACTCTCCTGAAATGAATGGCAAGGCTGAAAGAAAAAATAGAACTTTTACTGAATCAGTAGTTGCTATCTTACTTAACTCTGGTGCTGCTTCTTATTGGTGGGGAGAAATTTTGTTGACTGTTTGCTATGTGCTTAATAGAGTTCCCAAATCAAAAAGTAAAATTTCCCCTTATGAAGTTCTTAAAAATAAGAAACCTAACCTGTCTTACTTTAGGACTTGGGGTTGTTTGGCTTATGTTCGGATTCCTGATCCAAAAAGGAAAAAACTTGCTAGTAGAGCATATCAATGTATGTTTGTTGGCTATGCCGTGAATAGTAAAGCCTGCAGATTTTTTGACTTAAATGCTCATGTGATTATTGAATCAAATGATGCTGACTTTTATGAAGATAGATTTCCGTTTGTATTGAAGAATAGTGGGGGCTCCACATCTAGTAATATGCCTATAACTAGAACTAATGAGTCTAATAAGGAATTAGAGTTTGAATCTAGGAAAAGTAAACGAATTCGCACCATTAAGGATTATGGTCCTGACTTTCATGCGTTCACTTTAGAGGAGGATCCTTACACCCTCCAAGAGGCCTTATCTTCTGTAGATGCTAATTTGTGGCAAGAGGCAGTTGATGATGAGATGGACTCTCTTGAGTCTAATAAAACATGGCACCTAGTAGATTTACCTCCAGCCTGTAAAACAATAGGATGTAAATGGATACTTAAAAAGAAATTGAAACCCGATGGTACTGTTGATAAATATAAGGCACGTCTTGTAGCCAAAGGGTTTAGACAAAGAGAAAATGTAGATTTCTTTGACACCTTTTCACCTGTTTCTAGAATTACATCTATTCGAGTGTTATTTTCTCTTGCTGCTATTCATGATCTTGTTGTACACCAAATGGATGTTAAAACTGCTTTTTTGAATGGTGAATTAGAAGAAGAGATTTATATGGACCAACCTGAAGGTTTTGTTATTCCTGGTCAAGAACACAAAGTGTGCAAATTAGATAAATCTCTTTATGGTCTAAAACAGGCACCTAAGCAATGGCATGAAAAGTTTGATAATCTTGTTATCTCACATGGTTTCAAAGTGAATGAAAGTGACAAGTGCATTTATTATAAATCTGAAAATGATGTTTGCACTATTATATGTCTTTATGTGGATGACTTGCTGATTTTTGGTTCTAATATTCATGTTGTGAATAATGTGAAATCTATGCTATGTGCTAACTTTGATATGAAAGATCTCGGAGAAGTAAATGTGATCCTTGGAATTAAGATAACTAGGTCTAAAAAGGGAATTTCTTTGGATCAATCTCATTACATTAAGAAGATCTTAAAGAAATACAATTACTTTGACTGTAAACCAGCATGTACTCCTTATGATCCTAGTGTAAAGTTGTTCAAGAACACCGGTGATGGTGTTAGACAATCTGAGTATGCGAGCATCATTGGTAGTCTTCGATATGCTGCTGATTGCACTAGACCCGACATAGCCTACGCTGTGGGACTGCTATGCAGGTTTACTAGTAGACCTAGCATTGAACATTGGCATGCTATAGAAAGGGTCATGAGGTACCTAAAGAGAAATATGAACCTTGGATTACATTATCAAAAGTTTCCCGCTGTCCTAGAAGGATATAGCGATGCTGATTGGAATACTCTTTCAGATGACTCCAAGGCAACTAGCGGCTACATATTAGCACATTTGGTGGATCTGTTTCTTGGAAGTCTAAGAAACAGACTATCTTGGCTCAATCTACCATGGAGTCTGAGATGATTGCACTAGCATCAGCTAGTGAGGAAGCAGGATGGTTAAGAAGTCTGCTATCTGATATTCCGTTATGGGAGAGACCGATTCCAGCTATCTTGATCCATTGCGATAGTACTGCAGCTATTGCGAAAATTCAGAACCGTTATTATAATGGAAAAAGGCGACAAATACGTCGTAAGCATAGTACTATTAGAGAATATCTCTCCACTGGAGCTGTGAGA